TAAATGACCAATAAGTCATCAATTTTAATAAAATAATGTGGTTACAGCATTTGGAAGTGGAAGAAATGTGGGCCATCTAATCCAGCCCCTTCATTCAGTCTAAGCTCAAAGGTTTAATGATGTAGCCGAGGTAAGGTTAATTAACAAAAAAGGGGATCGAATTTCCAATTCCATGCTTCCTTCAAATAGTTTACACTCACAGGGTTTGTACTGCATTTCTATAGTGAATGCGGTTTTTACAGCAGGACAGAGGTGGGGACCTTTAAACTCCCTCTTGTATTATCCTCTGGGACCACTAGGTGTCGTCTTAGAACTGTTGTTTAATATCCCTGCTGGTCTTGCACCTGTGGGTTTAGGGTTCTGGGTAAGGTCCAGATCCCTAGAAGGCGGTGATGAGAGCAGTTCCCAATTCATGGAGTCTGGAGGAGGCACCGAGGAGTCACAGGGCCCCACGGCTAAGACATTCAGCACCTGGCTATGCACACAGGAAGCTAGTTCTCAGTCACTTCTCGTTCAGTGCCTGGGAGCCCTGCATGTATTTTGGTAGGGGACATAAAAATGATTTTTTTTTTGACAGGCAGAGTGGACAGTGAGAGAGAGAGAGAGAGAAAGGTCTCCCTTTGCCGTTGGTTCACCCTCCAATGGCCACCGCGGCCGGCGCACCGCGCTGATCCGAAGCCAGGAGCCAGGTGCTTCTCCTGGTCTCCCATGGGGTGCAGGGCCCAAGCACTTGGGCCATCCTCCACTGCACTCCCTGGCCACAGCAGAGAGCTGGCCTGGAAGAGGGGCAACCGGGACAGAATCTGGCGCCCCGACCGGGACTAGAACCTGGTGTGCCAGCGCCGCAAGGCGGAGGATTAGCCTAGTGAGCTGCGGCACTGGCCCATAAAAATGATTTTATAATAGACACGTATGTTGACACAGTAACAGGAGAATGACCAGCTTCTTGTTTGCATGCACTTCTCGGAACGTCTTAATCAGGGGCACAGGTGTGTCAAGAGTTAACTGTTGAACGACAGGGTTTCGGTGTCAGAAATAAAAAATAAAACCGACCCCACCACTTGTGGTGGCTGGTGGAGCTCTGCCAACCGACGTCTTCCCCACGGTGCCCGCGTCACTGGGAGGAAGGCTGGGATGAGCTCCGCACGGTGCTGGGGAAAGTCTAGCCCTGTGACCTTGAGCACAGTAACCTCTGGAAGCCTCCGCCTCCGTACTTGTACCAGGAGCTCAGTGTGAACTTTCCAGGGCTGGTTTAAGAAATAAATGAGGGTTAAAGCCCTGACCTGCAGTGCAGTCATCCAATATTGGCGCCAGTTCTAGTCCCGGCCGCTCCTCTTCCAATCCAGCTCTGCTATGGCCTGGGAAAGCACTAGAAGATGGCCTAAGCCCTTGGGCCCCTGCACCCGCATGGGAGACCCAGAAGAAGCTCCTGGCTCCTGGCTTCAGATCAGCGCAGCTCCGGCCATTGCGGCCAACTGGGGAGTGAACCAGCAGATGGAAGACCTTTCTCTCTGTCTCTACCTCTCTATGTAACTCTGTCTTTCAAATAAATAAAATAAATCTTTAAAAAAAAAAGAAAGAAAGAAAGAAAGAAAGAAAGAAAGAAAGAAAGAAAGAAAGAAAGGAGATGCATTACGGAAGCAGGGAAAATGCTGATGTATTGCCTCTTCGGGCCAATCGACTCTGATAAGCCGGGCCTGCGCTCAGCTGAGCGGACCTGGTCTGGGCCAGGATCCCTAGGGACAATCAGACCAGGGGGAGCGTGGAACTCAGAGACCTGTGGCTGCCGGTAGGAGGAACTTAAGCTCGGAGATTTAAAGACTTGAGCTGAGGACAGTCCTGGCCGAGCAGGCACCCCTCAAGGCAGAGTGCGACTGTTAGCTTGCCCAGGGCTGTGCAAATGCCGGTGCAGGTGGGGAGTCCATGGCCTCAAAAAGAATTCCCTCCTCTAAGGCTCCAGATTCCAGACTCACTTTGTTTAAAAAGGTGTCGCTTCTCCCTTTTAAACATTGATTTTTACCTATTTGGAAAAGCAGAGTGGCAGAGACAAAGAGAGATCTCTCCCATCTGCTAGTTCACTCCCCAAATACTCACAACAACCGGGGCAGGGCCAGGCTCAAGCCAGGAGCCGTGAGCTTCATTCAGATCTCCCACGTGGGTGGCAGGGCCCTGAGTCACCACCTGCTGCCTCCCAGGGTGTGCATGAGCCAGAGGATGACCTAGGAAGGTGTGCCCAAGCCAAACACAGGCACCCTGACGTGGGGTGTAGACGTCCCAGCCAGCACCTGCCCCACACTTACATTTTTTCCAAACTTGAGAACCATTTTCTCTGCATTGATGTGGTCCAGGAAATTCGGGTGGTGCTTCCTTCTTCGATAATCCTCCTCAGTAAAGGGCACCTCGGCGTCGTCCTGGAGGAGGAGAGGGCTCAGACTGGACGCGAGAGACCCGGTGCGCTTCCAACCCGCACGAGGCCTTCCTGGAAGCGCACGCGGGACCTGGAGCCACTGCCCACCCGAGGGATGCACTTGTGCTGAGACCTCTTCAGCTAGCCACATCTGATCCTTAGACTCAACCTGACCAACGTTTGAAATCTAAATAAACCACTTCTTGTTCATTCTCCTGACGCCTGCAGTTTCATTTTTTTAATTTAAATCTTGTTATTTGTTTCCTCTGCCACACTGGCACTCCCTCCCAATCACATCATCGCATGCATGAAAACCGTCCACGGGCGAGCTTTAAAGACGATTCAACAGGCAGATGAGCTACCAGGTCACCCCGGGAATGGGGACGACACTGGCTTTTTAAAGTTTTATTTATTCATTTGAAAGGCAAAGTGAGGAAGAAGGAGGGAGAGAGAGAGAGAGAGAGAGAAAGAGAGAGAGAGAGAGAGAGAGAGAGAGAGAGAGAGAGAGGTCTTCCATTCTCTGGCTCATTCCCTAAATGGCAGCAACGGGCAGGTCTGGGCCAGGCAGAAGACTAGATCTCCATCCTGGTCTCCCACATGGGTGCAGGGGCCCAAGTACTCGGGCCGTCTTCCAGTGACTTCCCAGGTGCACCAGCAGGGAGCCGGATCAGAAGGGGAGCAGCTGGGGCTCGAACTGGAACTCCAGTATGGGATGCTAGCAAGGCGAGCAGGGACTTCGCCTGCTGCACCACAACACCTGCCCTCACAGTGCGTCCTGACGGCCCACTGAGCTGCCCGTCACGTCCAGTGTCTCCACCACTGCCCCCCCACCGTGCAGTCCCAGAGAGGGGCTCACCCAGAACAACGGGGCTCACACTCACGGGGGCATCCAAGAGCAAGTCGAGAGCCATGCTCCAGGGAGACTTGCCGGATGCACCCAGACCCGGCGTCCGTGTCCGAGCAGGGTTGTACTGCCCAGTGTCTGCTCCAGGACTTTCCAGCGCAGCTCCTGGGGCTAAGTGAACCTGCACCAAGCATGTGCGCCCGGAGCTTACAGGAAAGTCATCTCAGGGGCAGAAGACTCCCAGGATGAGGACCCTAAGGTGGGGGCCCAACCGCTGGCGTGGTGTCTGAGAGGTGGGGAGAAGGCCCCGAACGCCGGGTGCCCGGGGCGGGGGGGGGGGGGGGGGGAACCGCGGGGGAGGAGGTGGGCGGGAGCCAGATTACCCGGGCTTCCGGGTCACGTGGAGTTTAGATTTCTTCTAAGAGGGACCGAACACCATGAAGGGTTTTTTCTTGTTTGCCTGTTTTTAAACTCTTATGTCACTTTATTTTTAAATTTTAAAAATATTTACTTTCAGTTTGTTTTAAAGACAGAGAGAGAGAGAGAAAAGAGAGAGAGAGGGAAGCATCTTTCATCCACTGGTTCACTCACCCCCTGCCCGGGCAGCAGCACGCGCTTGCCCAAGTCCTGGGTTCCTGCCCCCTGGAGGGAGGTCCTGGCTCCTGCCTTCGACCTGGCATAGCCCAGGCTGTCGCGGGGTGGGTGAACCAGGGGATGGAAGTTCCCACTCTACCTCTTTCTCTCTCTTCCTCTGTCTGTCACTCTGCCTTTTGAATAAGTAAATCTTTAAAACCAAAAGTTTGTGGAAAATGAAATTAAAAGAGAAGCTGATTTTGGTGCAGAAAAACCTTGAAATCCTTGCAAAATCCTTTCAGAATTTGCAGGTTCCGTGAACGGCTTGAAAACCCCTCTGCCGGGATGTCAATGGTGTTTTGCACCAAAGTAAACTGCTTTTTAATTTCATTTTCCATAAACTATTTTTGGTGCCCTGAACTCTGAAGAGTTCCTCCCGGCAGGAGGACGACACGCGTGGTATTCACAATGAGAGTTGGTAAGGGAGGCTGAGTGTCCAGGAAAGCCGGTAGCCATGACTCTACCGTGAAGCAGGATGATGGATTTAACGCAGGCTGAGCCAACACCATGTCTCACCATTCACCCGAAAGCAAATGACACACAGTCGCCAGGAACTGAAATCTGGACTTCACATGTACTTTATTTGTTGCTGTTAAAAGTGAAATTTACGTATTAAAGGGAACAGCCCGAACACTGATAGCAAAGGTCCATGATGCACAGCCGATCTCCAGACCGACCAGGAACAAGGGTGACGAGGCAGCCCCCACAGCACTGCCTGCTTCGAATTCACAGGTCACAGTGCGCTGCCCAGAGACGCTGGGTCCCTTCTTGCTAAGCAGTGTGTGGCGGTATAGCAGTGCTGCTTATCAGGTATGCTTCCTGATCCCGACGTATTGAAAGAGCACGTTTAGGGCAAGCTTTTGGTTAAACACACCGCTTGGGACACCCACATCCCACGTTAGAATACCTGAGTTCAGGTCCTGGGTCCACTGCTAATTTCAGTTTCCTGCTAATGCCCTGGAGAGCAGCCGGTGACGGCCACCCGCACAGGAGACCTGGATTGAGTTCCAAGCTCCTGGCTTCAGCCTGGCCCAGCCTGGGCTGATGTGGGCATTTGGGGAGTGAACCAGCAGATGGAAGATCTCTCTCTACCTGTCTGTCTGTCTCTTTGCCTTTTGAATAGACTGAAAATAAATTAAAAATTTAAAAAGAAGGAGCACTCTTTTTGACTTTTCTAAACCTATATTTTTGTCACAAACATTTTTGGGTGTGCATCAAAAAGAAAATAGAACCAAAATGTAGTGGATATAGTGTTTCTAAAACTTATTCATATTAAACTTTTAAATTTTTCATTTTATTTTTGAAAGAGAGACAGATAAAGGTCTTCTATCATTGATTCACTCCCCAAATGCCCACAACAGCCAGGGCTGGGCCAGGCCAAAGCCAGGAGCTTGGAACTCAGCCTGGGTCACCGTGTAGTAGGGATCCAGGTACCTGAGCCATCACCTGCTACCTCCAGAGTGGGCATTAGCAGGAAGCCAAGGCTCTCTGATACAGCATGTGGGTGTCCCAAGTGGTGTTTATTGATTTTAAATTTTTAAAAGATTTACTTTATTTTAAAGACAGAATTACAGTGAGAGGTAGAGGCACAGAGAGAGGTCTTCCATCCTCTGGTTCACTCCCCAGATGGTTGCATCAGCCAGAGCTGAGCCAATCAGAAGCCAGGAGCCAGTAGCTCCTTCCAGGTCTCCCACATGTATACAGGGGCCCAAGAACTTGGACCATCTTCCACTGCTTTCCCAGGTGCATTTGCAGGGAGCCGGACTGGAATTGGAGCAGCCAGGACTCCATACATGGCCTATATGGGATGCTGGTGCTGCAGGCCAGGGCTTTAACCTGTTCCACTACAGCCCAGGCCCCCAAGCAGTGTGGTAACAGCTGTGCCAAACACCAGCCCCAACTTTCTCACACTGAGTCCACCTCTGAGCCACACTTGCATTCTGTCATTTATTTGTAGGCACTTTGCTGTAAAGCAGACATTTTCCAGCTCTGTTATAATCTTTCTTCTTAATAGATTTATTTATTTGAAAAGCAGAATGACAGAGAGTGAGGAAGAGACAGAACAGAGAAGTTCCATTTGCTGGCTCACTCTCCAAATGACTGCAACAGCCACGACTGGGCAGGGCTGAAGTCAGGACACTGGAACTCCACCCAGGCGGCTCACAGGGGTGGCAGGGGCCCAAGCACCTGAGCCATCTTCTGTTGCCTTCCCAGGCACATTAGCAGGAAGCTGGATCAGAAGAGAGTAGGCGGGACTTCAGCCAGCACTCGGATATGGGATGCAGATGTCACACGTGGAGGCCTAACCCGCTACGCCACAATGCTGGTCCCCATTGTAACCTTTTAGTCACCTTCAGGGTCCTGCACGCAAGCTGCTGCTGCTGCAGTGTTATCATGCGCTCCGTGGGACCATCGTCTAACAGTGCTGCTACTGCTGGTGGCACAAGAACAACGCAGTCCCTACAACTGAAGCAGTCAGTGAGCTCTGCTGAGTGCCCGTTATGGCACAGGGCTCAGGAGTGTAAGGAAACACAGCTCCCCGAACACGGCGCCCTCTGCACCGTGTGAGAGACGCATTGCCCAAGAGGAAGCGGACGCTCCCTACTTACCGGGTCCAGGGGCTTGGATCGCGCCCAAGTCATCACCGTGGACACCAAAATAAATACTTTCCGCTTTTCAAAATGGATGATTTCTTCATTCAGTGCTGCAGGGCCAAGGGAAAAGGGAAAAAAAAAAAAAGGCAGAGCGGTTATGTGTGTGCAGACAGCACTCCCTCTGGAAGTCGTGCACGGCAGGCAGTCAGCAGGGGGCTTGGGTTACGCCCCCCAGGACCAGCCTAACACCAGGGCGGTGCTGCCTTCGCTGCTTCAGGGCCACACACCCAGCTTTGCTCTTTGGTCCTCCCTCCCGCTGCTCGACCCCTTCTGAGCGGCTGCTGACAATACGCACCCTAGCGACCGGAATTAGAACCATTCCTGGGCTTCGCCGAGTTCTCACCCCTATGAGACAGGGACTGCTGTTATGTTCGTTTTACAGATGGGGCAACTGAGGCACACTTGGTCCAGAATCATAGAGGGAAGTAATGGGGCTGGGTACGATCGAGGCAGGCTTTGCCGTCTGCGTGGAGAATGGAGCAGGGTGGATGTGGGGGGCTGCAGAGCCCCCAGATCAGAGAGTAAGCCCTACTGGGATCTCGCATACAGCAGCCCTGACTCGTGAAGCTGCTGAGGAAGGTGCGCCTTCCCTCTGCTCTGCCTGGCTGTGGGAGCTTTGCCCTGGGGACTGACACCTGGTGGAGAGCATTGGTAAGGCAGGAGTGCTTGGCTACGTCTATCCTCTAGGGATGGGTAAGTAGAATACAGGTGGACAGAAGGGGAGTATTTGCTTTCCAAAGTGCTTGTCCCTTTATCGGAGAGCTCTCTACACACTAACTTAACAGCCAAATGTCGGGGACAATGTTGTGGTGCTGGCATCCCATATGGGTGCCGGTTCAAGTCCCGGCTGCTCCACTTCTGATCCAGCTCTGCTAATGCTCCTGGGAAAGCAGTGGAAGATGGCTCAAATGCTGGGGCCTCTGCACCCATGTGGAAGACCCAGAATGAGTTCTGGGCTCCTGCCTTGGCCTGGCCCACCCACGGCTGTTGTGGCCATTTGGGGAGTGAACCAGTGGATGGAAGATCTTGCTCTATCTCCCCACCTCTCTCTGTCACTCTGCCTTCCAAATAAATAAGTTTAAAAAAAAAAAAAAACTGAACAAAACAAAACAGAATTGGGCTGGCGCCGTGGCTCAATAGGCTAATAATCCTCCGCCTGCAGCGCTGGCACCCTGGTTTCTAGTCCCAGTTGGGGCACTGGATTCTGTCCTGGTTGCCCCTCTTCCAGTCCAGCTCTCTGCTGTGGCCCAGGAAGGCAGTGGAGGATGGCCCCAGTGTTTGGGCCCTTGTACCCACATGGGAGACCAGGAGAAGCACCTGGCTCCTGGCTTCGGATCAGTGCGGTGCGCCGGCCGCAGTGGCCATTGGAGGGTGAACCAACAGCAAAAGGAAGGCCTTTCTGTCTCTCTCTCTCACTGTCCACTCTGCCTGTCAAAAAAACAAAAGAGAATGGAACCTCCTTGCGTGTGGTCAGCAAGGGATTCCACTGACGCCTTCTTCCAGGGGTGAGGGGTGCCCCTTTCCGGAAGGCAAACCCTAAGCTGTAAAGTGAGGTCTCAGCAGGCGGCAGAGGTCCGGTGTCAGAGGCATCGCCGCACATCTCTGCATTCGCGAGGCGATTCTAACCAACAGGCCAAACCGGGAAACGCCGAGCAAGGTGATTCTCTAACCAACAGGCCAACCGGGAAACGCCGAGCTCCTCGCCTGGCAAGTAAAGTCTAGCCCACGACGAGACGGGCTCGCGGAACCAAGCCTCGGAGCCGTGTCCGCATCCTCAGCCCAAGCTTCAACACCAGTTCAGCTCCTATTTCTATTCTAATGACAATTCAGTGTTGGTCTTTCCCCTTTCTGCCGTGCTGGGCTTCAGACTGGCCTATTTTGTGAGTACTTGGCACACTTAGAGGCCCTCAAACTGGGTTACCCTTTGCAGTGCTGATATTTATAATGGTTCCAAAGTGCCCTGCCTGCTCCCTTTGAACACACCCTTTATCCACACACGCAAAGGTTTTCTGTCACCCCTAGTCATTTCTCTCTCTCTCCTGAGTCATCCTGCCTTCCCTCCATGGTGTCTGTGAAAAGTGAGGTGGGAGAATTCTGAAACATTTTAAAATAATTCAATAAAACATTATTAAAAGGGGCCAGCACTGTGGCATAGCTGGTAAATCCACCGCCTGCAGTGCCAGCATCCCATATGGGTGCCGGTTCGGGTCCCAGCTGCTCCATTTCTGATCCAGCTCTCTGCTATGGCCCGGGAAAGCAGTGGAAGATGGCCCAAGTGCTTGGGCCCCTGCACCCACGTGGGAGACCCAGAAGAAGCTCCTGGCTTCAGATCGGCGCAGCTCCGGCCATTGCAGCCTTTTGGGAGTGAACCAGCGGATGGAAGACTTCTTCCTCCCTTTCTCTCTCTCTTTCTGCCTCTCTGTAACTCTGCCTTTCAAATAAATAAACAAATCCTTTAAAAAATTATTAAAATGTAATACACATCCATTGTAAGGAAAACACAATCTGAGATTGTGCATCAGGAAAAGTGGCAGAGTCCCCGCCTCTATGTCCCCAGAGCCGTGACCCCCATGAGCCAGGTGACTGCGCTGACAGACCGGAGGGCCTCTGGCAGTCCTCTCCTGCAGACACAAGGCTCCGCATCTCCAAATGACGGGATTCACGGGGAGCGTGGGCGCGGTGGTCAGGACGCCACCTGTGCCACCTGCAGCCCATGCCTCTGAGCGCCTGGGTTCAAGTCGGATCCAGCGTCCTACTAATGTGCTCCCGGGAGGCAGTGGGTGAAGGCTCACGTAGCCGGGTCCCGGCCACCCACGCAGGAGACCTGGACTGAGCTCCCAGTCCCCGGCTTCCGCCTGGCCCAGCTCTGGCTGTTTGGGGCATTTGGGAGGCTGATCTCTGTCTCTCTTTGCCTTTTAAATAGATATATAATTTTCTAAAAGTTGCATAACTCCATTAAAACTTTTCTCTGAGTAGAGAAGTAACTTTTTTTTTTTTGACAGGCAGAGATAGACAGTGAGAGAGAGACAGAGAGAAAGGTCTTCCTTCCGTTGGTTCACCCCCCCAAGTGACTGCTATGGCTGTCGCTGTGCCGATCCAAAGCCAGGAGCCAGGTGCTTCCTCCTGGTCTCCCATGCGGGTGCAGGGCCCAAGCACTTGGGCCATCCTCCACTGCCTTCCCAGGCCACAGCAGAGAGCTGGACTGGAAGAGGAGCAACCGGGACAGAATCCGGTGCCCCAACTGGGACTAGAACCCACAGTACTGGCGCCACAGGTGAAGGATTAGCCTAGTGAGCCACGGTGCAGGCCTTTTTTTTTTTTTTTTTTAAAGTAACATTTTCTTAATTCTTCAAAGCTCTTTGTCAGAATGAAGAAGGTAGCAGAAACAGAGTCTACATTTCAAGGCTCACAAAAGGAACTGCAGTGTCAGTTTCCGTCAGGTGGTCCTAGGAGAGGGTGGGTGTTCATCTGTCACAGCAGGAGCTCAGTGGCAGATGTCAAGTTCACAGTCAAGGGGCACCCACGCAGGCATCGGTGTATATTAAATAGACAAGGTCACTTTGGGGGACTAATAACGGTGTAGGAAGGAAACACATGGAATTGTTTTTATTTTGCTTTTTTGTTTTGTTTTGTTTTTAAAGGAAGAGAGCGAGGGGAAGAGAGGGAGGGAGAGAGAGAGAGAGAGAGGGAGAGAGGACAGTCTTTTATCCACTGGTTCTCCCCTCCAAATGCCTGCAAGAGCCAGTGTTTAGCCAGGCTGAGGCCAGGAGTCTGAATTCAGTCGAGGTCTCCTGTGTCCCCCTGTACTTGGGTGGCTGGGACCCACGTCCTTGAGCCCTCTCCGGCTGCCTCCCAGGGTGACATTAGCAGGAAGCTGGATCAGAAGCAGAGTAGGTAGGTCTCCAACCAGGCTCTCCAATATGGATGCAGGCTTCCCAAGTGGTGGCTGTGCGGTGGTGCCAAACGCCCAGCCCACACAGCTGCGCTTTTCACTTTTCGGAACATGCCGAGGCTTTATTTCAGAGAGCGGCATTAAACGTGCAGAGACAACGGCAAGAACATACGATAAGAAACATCACCTTCCAAAGCCTGGTGCACGTGGGTGCTCAGCGAACATTCCACCTGCTCGCTGTTTCAGACAGTGCAATGACCTGTCACGTGCAGGAGCAGGCTTCAAACGGGCTCTGCCCCCTGTCCCCGTCGGAGCCGCCATCCGGGGATCTGGCTGCAGAGCTGTGAATGTGAAATCCCACACTGCGAGCTGCCAAGGGAACCCACGCATGGCCAGCACTCCTTTGCTGTCGCCGCTTCCCTGAGTGTGGCACGGTTGCTTCCAAGGCTCCTTTCCGTGTCTTTGAACTGAAGCCAGAACGGAGCTCTGCATTTTGTACGTAAGTTTTATGGGGACCTGACCCTTGGGGAACATGGTGCCTGTGGCTGCTTTTCCCCCGTAATGGGACTGGGCTCACGAGGCCATTGATGGACCAGGTTCGCTGACCCTTGATCCAGCTGACCCCCCGCACAACCCCCTAGAAGGCACCGGAATGCCCGGTGCTGGGGCCTTTGCTCCAGACTCAGGGAGGAGACAAATCCGAACAGCACCGAACTGCGCTCTGAGACCCGAGGGGCTCAGAGGATGTAGATTGCTTGTTTGTTTGTTTTTTAAATTTTGGTCCTTTCTCTTTTCATTTCTCTTTCTTTCTTTTTTTAAAGATTTATTTATTTATTTGGAAGTCAGTTACAGAGAGAGAAGGAGAGGCAGGAGAGAAAGAAAGAGAGAGAGAGGTCATCCATCCGCTGGTTCACTCTCCAAATGACTGCAATGGCCAGAGCTGAGCTGATCCGAAGCCAGGAGCTAGGAGCTTCCTTCAGGTCTCCCATGCGGGTGCAGGGGCCCAAGGACTTGGGCCATCTTCCACTGCTTTCCCAGGCCATAGCAGAGAGCTGGATCGGAAGTGGAGCAGCTAGGACTCGAACCGGCACCCATATGGGATGCGGCGCTGCAGGCGGTGGCTTTACCTCCTATGCCACAGCGCCGGACCCGTCCTTTCTCTTTTTCTGCCATTCTACTCTTCAAAGCATGTTCTATCAGCCTGTCCTTGTTTGTGGGATTGGGGAACACTTACTGAATTAAAAATAACCACTCTGGGGCTGGTTATCCACAGGCACCCTCAGCAGCCTGGGCTTCGTCCTTTGGGCCTCACACCAGTTTTTCCAGGGCGCTAATCTGCCTGGTGACTCTCGGGCAGAGTAAGCCACACCGAAGCAGCAACTACAAAGTGTCAACAACAACAACACAACGAGCGGGGCAGGTGTTGGGGGCACTGGCTAAGCCACTGCTTGAGACGCCCCATCCCATATCGGAGCCTGGGTCACAGTCCCGGCTCTGCGTCTGATTCCAGCTTCCCACGAGTGTGCACCCTGGGAGGCAGCAGCGATGAGCCAAGTGCCTGGGTCCCTGCCACCCTTGTGGGAGACCCAAATGGGGTTCCAAGCTATCAGCTTAGGCCTGGCCCAACCCTGGCTGTTGTTGCCAAAGGATGAAAGATTTCTCTCTCTTGCTCTCTCTCGCTCGCTCTCGCTCTCACTCTCTTTCTCTTGCTCTGCCTTTCAAACCAATGACAACTAAAATTTCAAAAATACTGCCCTTACACCAGGTTCTGGTCCCGGTTGCTCCTCTTCCAGTCCAGCTCTCTGCTGTGGCCAGGGAGTGCAGTGGAGGATGGCCCAAGTGCTTGGGCCCTGCACCTGCGTGGGAGACCAGGAGGAAGCACCTGGCTCCTGGCTTCGGATCGGTGCAGCACACCGGCCATAGCACCCATCTGGGGGGTGAACCAACGGAAGGAAGACCTTTCTCTCTGTCTCTCTCTCTCACTGTCTAACTCTGCCTGTCAAGTGAAAAAAAATGCTGCCCTTAGATATAAGAGTGCCCCTCACTGACCAGAGACTGCCCACACGGCTTCCTCCACTTGCTGTGTGCTCTCGGTGATGTTATAAATGATCACATCACACTCCAGCAGGCGCAGGAGAAGTTCTTCTCGAGAGAAGATCTGAAAAAGAAAATCGACAGTCGCTTTGCAGCAGGGAGCTACCAAGGTAACCTTAGCGTTCCACAGAACAACGATTTCCAAATGAGATTCGCTACACTCGAGCCCACGGGAAATGTTTGCAGAAGGGTTTCTATTGAAAATGAAAGTCTGCTCTCTTCTGTGCACCCTTCTCAAGTAACGAAGAAGTGTGTGAAAACAGCCTGGAACTGATGATTCCACAACTACATAATGACCCTAGGCGCTATGGCTGCGTTCTGTCTACACCGCAGTTCAGAAGGGAGGAACGGAACACACTGCAAGAAACTGAGAGCGGCTTTGAACCCTAACACAGACTCCACGCAAGGTTATTTGAGCAATGGATACCAGGGATCACTCACAAGCGCTGATGAGTGATTAATCTGGATTGCCTCAGAATCCTCACGATGGAATCCAACTGCTCACTTTACAGCCGTGGGGGAGCGTGGAGCAGCTGACAGTTGGGGCCACATGGAAAACACTAGGACTTTCAATGGATAAAAATGTAAAGTTCGGCCGGCGCAGTGGCTCCCTAGGCTAATCCTCCCCCTTTCGGCGCCGGCACACCGGGTTCTAGTCCCGGTCGGGGCGCCGGATTCTGTCCCGGTTGCCCCTCTTCCAGACCAGCTCTCTGCTGTGGCCAGGGAGTGCAGTGGAGGATGGCCCAAGTGCTTGGGCCCTACACCCCATGGGAGATCAGGAGAAGCACCTGGCTCCTGCCTTCGGGTCAGCACGGTGCGCCCGCCACGGCAGCCATTGGAGGGTGAACCAACGGCAAAGGAAGACCTTTCTCTCTGTCTCTCTTTCTCACTGTCCACTCTGCCTGTCCAAAAAAAAAAAAAAAAAGTAAAGTTCTTACATGAGAGCTAAGTAACTGGCACTCACTGTGCTGTTTAATTGATTCATCTGAGTCGGGGTGGGGGGTGCTGGGGTGGACCAGGCTAAAGCCAGGGGCTGGGAACTGAAGCCGGTTCTCCCGCACCGGTGGCAGGAATCCAATCACCCGAGCCATTACTGCCACTTGCCAGGGTCGGTATTAGCCGGGAGCTGGAAGCAGGAGCAGAGCTGGGTGTCAAACCCGGGCGCTCCGCTCTGGCAGGCAGCACAGCCGTCTGAACTGGCGTCTTAACCACTGGGCCAGAAGATGGTTGTCCGGGCCACTCGGAACGCCCAGGTTCATGCAGTCTTTTGTCCACCCAGCAAACATCTGTGGGCCCTTCTCTCTGAGGATGGAGGCAAAAGCGAGGGATAGATGGCTGCAACCAGGGATCCTCGTGTGCGTGTGTGTGTGTGTGTGTGTGTGTGTATGTGTGTGTGTTTTGTTGCAAAACCTCTGAGCAAATTCTCATAGTCTAATGCAGACAAGGACACAGCTAGGTGCATACTAAGCCTTTGCACAAACTGGAATAAAACCTGCTGTTGGTGGAAAAATTATAAGAAGGCAGAGCATACCAGCAGCTCTATACTCACCTCCCTAGCCAGGAACCCTTGTGCAGTGCACAACCTGCACAGCCTTAGTGGCCAACATGTGAAAGGGCTGTCTTAGAGATCCACTGTTGAGGTTTGATGGACGACGGGGAGACAGAGTGGTTTCTCAGGGTAAATATGAACTTGCCTGGCAGAGCGTGGAGTGCCCAGGGAACAGCAGGTGGTTTGCTGGGCCAGAGAGAGGCACCCATTCCAACGTGCACCAGCCCGGTGCTTCCCACCCTCAACTCTCCCTACCTTTCTGCCAGCCTGGCTTCCCCCTGGCTCCCACGGCCCCACGGCAGCTACCCTGGTCCTCTCAATGCCCAAGCACAGTGGGCACTTCCCTAGGCACTGCCCCCGAGTGGCGTCTCCTTCCTCCCACGTCCACCTGGCAAGCTCTACCCAGCCCTGGAGGTCCCGCCTCCGCGCCCCCAGCTCCAGCAGATCCTGACCTCCCAGAGGAGGGCCACCTGCAGGGCGTGGAGCAGCTCTGGGGGCCGGGGGACACGAAGATCCATTTGCCTGGCTCTTGGCGTGAGGCTGAGAGCTCACCAGAGGCCCAGGTGGTGCTGGGTCCCTCCTGTCATCATGTTCACCGCATTACACTGCCAAGGGGTCCCTGCCAAGCTGGGAGCTCTGAGTCCACCCCTGCCTGCATCCTTGGGGCGCTCCATACCCATGCACGGAGTCCCATTCCAGGAGCCAGGGTGGAGACCTGAGCCATGGCAGTGGGGAAGGCTGCACAGAGTTGCGCTGGGGATCCCAGGACCAGCAGGGTACGGGAGACAAGGGAGAGGGAGGAGCCCACAGCGAGTGCACCATGAACGGGTTAGGGGACCGCGCTGCCAGCCCCCAACAGCCAGGTCCTCTCGCTCTTTCCCTGCCATGGGGAGTTAACTCGGCCTCCAGCTTAAGGAGTGAGCCTGCGGATCCAGGGTAAGAGGCTGGCTCAGTGAAGGCCGTGGGTTGAGCACGAGACCGTGAGCTTCAAGGAGAGGTTTCCTGAGCGCAGGTCTGCGAGTCCTCACCAGGGTGTCACTGTGCACGAGCGCACGGCGCTGGCCTACTGCAGCCGGCCCACCGTGCCTGGGGATGCAGGCACCCCAGAGGAGGGCAAGCCCGGGAAGGGGCAGGAAGAGGAGCTGGGGTCCCCGAGTCACGTCAGCCCTGAAGCCGGGCCACTTCTGGGCGGCCAGCTGCAGCAGCTGATGGGTTTCCTTATCTATTCTGTCAGCTTGCACTGCCTTTCCCCCCAAGTACCTGCGCCCAAATCAGCCCCAAGTGATAGAGACAGCGGGGTCCTTAGTAATAATCGGGAGTTCTGGGGCCCCGCTGTGGCACAGCAGGTGAAGCCGCTGTCTGGACACTGGCTCCCATTTCAGAGCTGGTGGGCCTTCCGGCTGCTCTGTCTCCAGTCGAGCTCCCTGATAACGAGGGTCAAAGGCAGTGGAACATTTTCCCTTGGGGCCCTGCCACCCCATGTGGAGAACCTGGGTGGGGTTCCAGGCTCCAGGCTCCAGGCTCCAGCCTGGCCCAGCCCTGGCCATCCTGCCCATTTGTAGAGTGAACCAGCAAGTGGAATCTGCTGTGTGTGTGTCCCTCTCGGTCACTCTGCCTTTCAAATCACTCAATCAATCAATAGGGGGAGTTCCAATGGCAGCAAGGTCTTGGAGAGGAATGTGAGAGGGAAGGGTTGGCTTAGCAGTGCTTCAGGACAGCCGTGGGAGGGGAGAGGCGGCAGCTGGACTTTGGGCAACAGCACTGGCTATGGAGCTGAAGCCATAGAGACACTTGAGACTTAGGGAAGACACCTATTATGGGAGAGAAGGTGTCTCTGGGCACATCAGCAGGCAAAGAGGAAAGGGAGGCCATGGAGGAACCCCGGAAGGGGCGCCAGGCTGCACAGGGGAGGCGGGGCGGGCTGGTCAGCCGCCCTGTGGCTGAGATAAGCCGGGGGAGCCGGGACATCACTGGTGACCCTGACCAAGGCATTCCCTGTGCAGGGGTGGGGGCAGGGCCTGCCAGCATCGGGGAGAGAGTGAGGCTGCAAATGAGGCCTGTCCCCTTCTCAAGTTCAGGGGCAGAGAAAGGTGCCGATGGCCAATCCGTGCTTTTCGCAGTGAGAGAAGCTTTGAGCACAGGCACAGGAGAGGGCAGAAGTCAGCAGCGAGTGACCGTACAGAAGAGAAAGGCAACAGGTGGTTGGGGAAGTCCCAGAGGTGTCGGGAAGGGATCCTGGTCCATCTCACAAGCGTCCCTGGAGGGCTGCTGCTTTGTGCCCGCGGCGGTGCGAGGTGCTAAGGATGCCATGGATACGGGGGTGGCCACAGGCAGGGAGGGGGTGTGTGGAGCTCAGAATCCAGGCCTGGAATGGAGGAGAACTGGGATTCGTGGGTTGTGGTGGAATGAGAAGGCCATGCCAAGGTGGCCACTGGCAAGCGAGGGTCAGTTACTCAGGAATGGCTTTGAAACCCACCTGGCAACGGAGCCTGCCTGGCAACAGGCTGTGATGGGATGGCTTTGGAAACTGCCTGGCAACAGCCTGTGATGGGATGGATTTGAAACTGCCTGGCAACAGGCTGTGATTGGATGGCTTTGGAAACTGCCTGGCAACAGGCTGTGATTGGTTGGGGCATAGACCGCCCTGTGACCAGATTGGCTGGTTTTGGCTATATAAGATGTTGTACCAACTGAAATAAACGAGTCTTCGGGCTGCTCAACTCAAGCCTGCTTTCTCCCGACTCCTGGGGTCTGTGTGGTGACTCCGCGCCTCTTGCCCCCACCACGCTGCTCCTCTCAGAAACGAATCCACTGCAACATTGTTGAGTAATCAACAGCAACAGTGGGTGACTTCCTGGAGGAGGCGACCCTTAAATCTTAAAGGGCGAAAACGGCTGATGGCATGAACAAAGAGGGGAGGCCGTTCCGGAGTGGGGCGCATGCAAAGCCACATGGCAACGGCACAGCTCAGAGTGCGCTGGCAGAGCCGAGGGAGGAGGTAGCCCCAAAGGAGCGGAGGGCCACCCTTGCGGGCGTGCGCAAGTATCCCAGTACGAGGACGCACACAGTTTGTCACGTGGAGGCAGCGGTTTCTCAGGCGGCAACACAGTGGTCGGTTCTTCCTGAGCAGCCGATGCCCAGGGCTGCCCCTCTTTCCCAGGTGGCTCCCGCCGTGGTCCAGCTGCCCTGGGTCCCCCAGGACAGCAGATTTTGGCACAGGGTGAAGAATCGCGAGTCTGAAGGTTCAAAGGAGATCTACCCTTCCCAAGAATGTCTCACTGCTTCCCCCAAAGCCGTGCCTTGGAGACAGGGGACAGGGAGGGGCCCCCAGCCCTGCCCTGCCCGTCCCCCAGTCCCTGTGTCTGCCCTACCCTAAAGGCGCTGGAGCAGAGGGTGACTCCTCCCCTTGTCTACACCAGGCAAATACCCTCCCGGGCTTACAGAGTAGGTCTCCACCGCGAAGTTGGGCCGAGGGCTTTCGGGCGAGGAGAGCGTGCCCACGATCTGGAACGTGCCTTCCTTCAGCTTGGCCAGCGAGGCCTCCAGGATGGCCGACTTGCTTTCCTCCTCCTCCTCCTCCTCCTCTGTGATTTCTTCAAGCGAAGCCCCCACTATGCAGTTAGACAGGAACTGCAAGAGAGAAGTCTCCTGACTCCCGGAGGAAGGGCGGCCGATGAACCCCTTCCAGCCCAGCGCCTGCTAATGCTCCGGGAAGGCAGTGGAAGGTGGCCCAGGTGCCTGGGCCGCTGTCACCCACACGGGCGACCTGGACTGAGTTCCAGGCTCCTGGCTGTGGCCTGGCCCAGCCCTGGCTTTTGAGGTCACTTGGGCAGTGACTGGACAGAGCAGATAGAAGACCTCTTTCTCTGCACCTCTTCTTCTCTCTCTTGCTCTGTCCCAAATAAGTAAATAAATCTTCAAAACATTTTATTATAAAATACATTATAAGAATGAGAGATCAAGAGGGCATCTCCATGAAAGTAAAAAGTTAAACTCCTCTCCCTCCCTCATTCCTAATCACAATCCTCTCTGATGTGTATACTCCAGTGGTTTTCCACTGCATTTAGAATGCAATGTGGAATGCCACAGAACAGAGAGAGAAACAGAAAGGTGGGGGGGGGGGGAGGTCAATCGATCTTCCATCACTGGTTCACTCCCCAAATGACCACGACAGCCAAGTCTGGGCCAAAAGGAGGCCAGGGACCAGGAGCTCCCTCCAGACCTCCCACTCGGGTGGCAGGGCCGGGTAAACTTGAGCCATCCTCCACTGCTTTCCCAGTCACAACCAGCAGCAGAGTGGCTGGGATGCAAACCAGCATCCAATACGGGATGTTGGTATTGCAAGCGGCTTCTTGACTGGCTGCACCACATCGCACCAAACTCTTGGTGTGTGATCCAACCCTCTGTGTTCCACTCCTTTAGGATGCACTGCAGGGCTGCGTTCTGACTTTTGTGGGACCTTCCCTCCATAAAAACTATTAAACATCATATTTTGATGGCAAGTTATTTAGGCAAAATGTTTGGTGCTAAAATTTAATTTCTTTCTGAATTCAAAAGACATTAAAACACCTTTTCAGGCCCCTGCAGGTCTTGTGGGCCCTCGGCATGCTGCCTGCTATGCCCAATGGATAAGCTGGCCCTGGAAGGCAGGGTCACCGCACCCCGGCCACTCTGAGTTGGGAAGCCCTCCAGCTTGTCCCACCTTGGAACTGTGCCTGCTGAGAAGTAACTGCCCCCCCCCCCGCCTGAGACTCTGCGCACGCACGTCCGATGAGTGTCAGCTGTCCAGAGAACCCTTGCATGCAAGTAGCTGCTGTCTGCTACAAGCACCCTCCTCCTTTCCTTCTCCTTCAGGGCCATCATCACACATCAAAACAGTGTGTGCGCATGTGTGTGTGTGCATGGGCGTGTGCGTGTGCACGCGTGTGTGTGTGTGTGTGATCCTCTGTGCCTAGCATTTAGCAGGTACTCATGGATGAATGAAACCCATCCTACAGAAGCGATAGCGTATAGCCCTCAAGACATTCATGTGTACAGACGGCCTACTTATCATCTGTCTACCTTCTCTGTATCAGTATCTAACTTTTTGAAAAACACGAATATGATCCTGTCATACCTGTGGCAGAGCGACAGAAATAAGAGAGGGACAGAGAGAAAGGTCCCATTTGCTGGTTCACTTCCCAGATGCGTGCAGTGCCTGGGGCTGGGCTGAAATGGAAGCTGGGAGCCGGAAAAGCCATCCAGGTCTCCTGTGTACGTGGCAGAAGCCCAAGGACTCCAGCGCTTACCGCTGTCTCCCAGGGTCCCTGGCAGCGGAAGTTCTGTAATCAGTGGCTGGAACCAAGCACTGAACCTAAGCACTCCGCTATGCGACGTGGGAGTCCACACTGACCTCCTCACCGCCAGGCCGAGTGCCGGCGCCCACACCTGTCCTTTGGGTGTTTCTCTTTGTTAAAACAACAATTGCATTGTCCCAGCTCTGTTTGTGTCTCTACCCTCTCTTTCCAACCTTGTCAGGTAATTTGGAAGGTGTGCAATGTGTTATGAATCCCTTCCAATACATACATGCATATATATGTAAATGTATTTAACATATTATACACACCACATATGTTGTTAAGGATTTTAACATAAAATACCCACCTGCATCTCCATTGTTGATTGGTGAAGTTTAGATGCTGTACTAGGTTGACCACTGCTCCTCCACCCCCCACCACCAAATTCCTGCGTGCACCAAGCTTATGGGATCTGATTTGGAAATAGGCCACTTTGCAGAGGTCATCAGGTCAAAGGCAGCCGTGCTGCTCACGCCACAGGCTGGTGTTTTTACGAGAAGACGGATGCAGACACGGAGGGGAGACTCCCAGGGGACTGGAGTGATGGGTCCACTAGCCCAGAGCTGTTGGTGACCCCCAGCCGCAGGAACTGAAGCATGGGACGGGGTCTCCTGTAGAGACCCCCAGCAGGCCCAAGCCTGCCAACACCTTGATTTCAGACTTCTGTGCCTGAGAACTGGGAGGCAAGAGATTCTAGCGTTCCACATCACCAGTGTGTGGGCAGCTGGTGGCATAACCGCAGGAAGCCTGCGCAGGTGGAACGGGCTGGGCCCCATCCTGTCCCGAGCAGCTTGTGTTGTTGGAAAGTGTAGTCACAGGGCTGGTGCTGTGGCAGAGTGGGTAAAGCCGCCACCTGTGAAGTGGGCATCCATATGGGCGCTGGTTCAAGTCCCAGCTGCTCCTCTTCTGATCCAGCCCTCTGCTATGGCCTGGGAAAGCAGAGGAAGATGGCCCAGGTGCTTGGGCCCCTGCACCCACGTGGGAGACCTGGATAGAGTGCCTGGCTCCTGGCTTTGGCCTGGCCCAGTCATGGCCTTTGCAGCCATTTGGGAGTGAGCCAGGGGATGGAAGATCTCTCTCTGTCTCTGCCTCTGTAAATCTGCCTTTCAAAAGGTCTTTTTATTTCTAAAAGAAAGTGTAGTCGTTGAGATTAGGGGGTTCCACCTGGGTAAACCGGGCTTTCTTGCGACAAAGGAGCGGTTGACAATGACGGGCCGCCCCAGATCTATTTTCCACGTGGAAAGGCGGTGGGAAGTGAGGGCGGGTGTGGGACTCAGGGCCCCAGGCAGCGCCTCCTACGAGAAAGGCTTTGTGGCTGAGAAAGGCGTCAGGGGCGATGCGGAACCCGCTTCTTTCTCCGAGTCTGTCCCAGCGGAAGGAGAACCCAGTTAGCCGGCGGGGGGCTGGGCTCTCAGGCCAAGGGCGGTCCCCCGCTCTGGGCGCCATCCTGGACAGGTCCCTTCCTCCCCGCCGGCCCCGGGGAGGAACCAGGGCTGAACCTGCGGCCTCCAACACCGGGCTGCTGGGTGGGAGCGTTTGCTTAGCTCGGCACAGACTGGGTCCCGGTGCAGCAGCGGCGCCAGGGCGCGGACCGTCTCCGGCCCTCGCTGGTGCCTGGGGCAGGGGCCGGCTCCGAGTCGCCGCCGCCGCTCACCTTCCCGATGTTTCTGCTGCTGTAGGTGTCCAGCAGGTTAATAAACACCCTCTGGATCCGGATGATTTTCTCCGTCGGCGCAGCACCGTCCTCTTCTTCAGCCATGGTGGGAGCCGCTCCGGTTGCTGAGGGGAAAGCGTCCCTTCGGTTGCCAAGGGCGGGTTCCGGGGCCTGGGAGGCGGGGCCGGCCTGGCTCTGGGGGCGGGGCCTGGGGCGGAGCTCCAGGTGGACGCCGGCGTGGGGGCGGCGCTCCGAGGCTCTGCGCGCGCAGCGGGGCGCTGTCCGCAGGGACGCCCCGCCCCCCGCGCTGGCGGACGGCGCCTCCGCGTTCGCGGCCCGGGTCCGGCGTCCGTCCCGGAGCCCGCGCGCTACCGGCTTCGCAGTGTGTTTTTCCTTCCCGCGTGCCCGGGGCCCGGGTGGCCGAGCCGTTGTCGGGCGGCTCTGAGGGACCCAGGGCTCCGCGGCCCTCGGGCGCGAGGCCACAGCACTCCCCTGACGGGGGGTGGGTTGTTCTGGAAGGATCTGTGCGAGTGGGTCGGAGGGGCGTCTCCCAGTGCGCTCTTCCCGCGGTGCTGAGAGAAGCGGGAGGACAGCGGCGGGCTCGCGCGCGGAGCTGGGGTGCACCGCGGTTGGCCCCGCAGTCACCCCGGGAATGTGTGCCTCCGTCTCGTTCACGCGCGTTCTTCCCGCACGCCGCGGCTGCGTGGGTGCTGTCTCCAGGGGCGGACGGCGCCGCGGTGGTGGGCGCCGGGATGCCAGACCCTGGCCCCTCTGTTACTCTTTTAAAGGTCTGTTTTGTGTTTGACAGGGAGTTAGACCACGCCTGAGCATCCGCTCGCTGGTTCACCCCGCAATCGGCTGCAGTCGCCAGGGCTGGGCCAGGTGGAAGCGGGAGCCCGGAGCTCCGCCGGGCTCTCCGTGGTGCAGGGTCCAGCATCGGGCGTCGTCCACCGCCGACCCAGGCAGGGCGCCGGGCCCCACGTGCAGCAGCCGGGGCTTGGAATCGAACTGCTCCCAGGGATGCCGGGCTGCGGGCAGCGGCTTAACCCACCGCCGCAAGGCCGGTCACGGCCCTATTTTTTTTTTTTTGTATTAACTCGTCTTTTTTTTTTTTTTTTTTTTAAATTTTTTGATAGGCAGAGTGGACAGTGAGAGAGAGAGAGACAGGTCTTCCCTTGCCGTTGGTTCACCCTCCAATGGCCGCCGCTGCAGCCGGCGCAGCGCGCTGATCCGATGGCAGGAGCCAGGATCCAGGTGCTTTTTCCTGGTCTCCCATGGGGTGCAGGGCCCATGGACTTGGGCCATCCTCCACTGCACTCCCTGGCCACAGCAGAGAGCTGGCCTGGAAGAGGGGCAACCGGGACAGAATCCGGCGCCCCGACCGGGACTAGAACCCGGTGTGCCGGCGCCGCAAGGTGGAGGATTAGCCTATTGAGCCACGGCGCCGGCTCAATTAACTCGTCTTAAAACTGATTTGTTTTGATAAACGGCCAAGTTGTTTGCAAGCTCAGTCAGCAACAGTTGGTAGCACAAAAGTGCTGTCAAGTTTGTTTTTATTTTCACTGTATTTGGGGCCGGAGAGACCAATGGCTTCCACCTGCTCCTTCCCTCTCCAAATGCCCTCAACAGTCAGTGCTTCGCCAGGCTGCAGTCCGGAGCCTGGGCCTCAGTCTAGCTCTTCCACGCGGGGGCGGGGACCCAAGGACTTGAGCTGGCACTGCTGCCTGTCGGGATGTGGGTTACCAAGACTGCGTGAAGCAGAGAGGCGAGGACTTGACCCTGGCACCCGGACATGGGACGCCGGCATCCCGAGCATTGCCTGCCCCCAAGTGCTATCTGTTTAAACAAGTTCATACAAAGTCTGGTAGCAGAGACCCGCGATATGGCTTAGTGGGCGAAGCTGCTGCCTGCAGCGCTGGCATTCTATATGGGTGCCGGTTCGAGTCCCAGCTGCTCCACTTCCGATCCAGCTCTGCTGCTGGGCCTGGGAAAGCAGCAGAGGCGGCCCAAGGCCGTCCACCCAGAGGAAGCTCCTGGCTCTTGGCTTCAGATCAGCCCAGCTCTGGCTGTTGCAGCCACGTGGGAGGTGAACCAGCAGATGGAAGCTTGCTGGCTCTCTCTCTGCAACTCTTTCAATAAAATTTTTTTTTTTAATTTGGTGGTATTTATTCTTCAACATCTTTTCAAATTATTTGTTCAAATATTCTAAAACTCATTTAATTCCTTATTTTGTTATTATATCCACATTCCTGTATTGATAGGGGTCGGCAGGTACATACTTGGAAAATATTCAACTAGTCATGCTACGGTGACTTGCCTTTCCTTCTTCCTTCCGTGGGTTCACCCCCCGATGGCCGCTAAGGCCGGCGCACCGCGCTGATCCGAAGCCAGGAGCCAGGTGCTTCTCCTGGTCTCCCAAGCACTTGGGCCATTCTCCACTGCACTCCCGGGCCACAGCAGAGAGCTGGACTGGAAGAGGAGCAACCGGGACAGAACCGGTGCCCCACCCAGGACTAGAACCCAGGGTGCCGGCGCCGCACGCGGAGGATTAGCCTAGTGAGCCACGGCGCCGGCCCCCTTCATTCTTATATGACTGCTCCCAGGTAAATGAGCCAGCTCCAGTTATAGAGGGGACAGCTCCGTAAATATATCAAGGAGAATCTGTTGTCAAACCAACTAATATCTTTTCCTTTGCTTTCATATAACCACAAAGTTCATGGGACGGCTTTTATTAATCCAGTTTCTAGGTCTAGCGGTTGGAGCCCGAGGGCCCGGGTTCCGATTCGGCTCCACTGCTCAGTTCCCGGATGTGTCCAGTCTTGGCTGTGTGACCCACAACAGAAAGGCGTTGAAGGACGTTCAGTGTGGCACCTACCACAGTCTAAGTTTTGCTATTCTGTTCTCCTTTCACCCATCAAGCAGCACCTTATTTCTGAATCCTGGAGAGGATGGTGCAGCGTGCGACGGAAGCAGCCAGGGAGCCCTCCAGTAGTCCTGCTGTGAGGATGACCGGCTGCGGGCTCGGAGGAGAGCTGGCAGAGTCCTGGGGAATCGGGTGTGCACTCTCCTATTCCCAGCCCTCCTGTCTCTCCCAGGCTCCTGGAGCAGGGGCAGCGCAGCCTGGCTTGGTGCTTCTGCTGGTTCTCCAGCTGGTTTAAACCTCCCCCATCTATGGAGTTGCCCCTTCTAATCAGTGCACATGTGCTAAAGCGGGTCTGTGGAACTGTAAGGAAAGTGAAAACTACTTTACCACCTAGTGATGACTGTTAACGTGTCACCATCCTCCAGTAAAGCCTTCCGTGTAGAGAGGATCACAGTATGCATAGATTACAGTGTGTATAGATTAGTGTGTACAGTATGTAGATTACAGTGTATATAGATTACAGTATGTATAGATTACAGTGTGTATAATTAGTGTGTATAGATTGCAGTATGCATAGATTAGTGTATAGATTAGTGTGTATAGATTACAGTATGTACAGATTAGTGTATAGTGTGTATAGATTGCAGTATGCATAGATTACAGTATGTATAGATTACAGTGTGTATAGAATACAGTGTATAGATTGCAGTATGCATAGTTTTGTCATAGTTTATGTTGTGTGATTTTTCCCCATTGCCATTTTTCATGATTTTTAATGGTTGCCTATTTTTCCATCAAAAGGATATGGCATGACTTTCCACTCTTTGGAGCTTTTCCTATTTTTTATGAGAAAACAGGAGTATCATTGTAGCTCATCTTCTGGTGAATCATTTCCCTAGACAGCACGCTAGTTCCAAGGCAGAATCTTTGCAAAGGCTCCAATATCAGTACCCTCCAACAGAATGCGAAAGTGCCCCTTCACTGAATCCTGGTGTTGTACTTACGTAAGGGAAATCACAAACTTACTAGGGGAAACAGTCCAGTTACTTTTAACTTTCCTTTCTTGGGTTACTGGTTGGATTGAACATCTTTCAAGTGGATGTCCGTATTTAAAAAAATATTTTATAAGTCAGAGAAAGGGAGGAGGGGGGTGGAGGGGAGAGAGATACAGACAGGAGAGATCTGCCATGCATTGGTTCACACTCTTCAAATGCCAATAGCCAGGGCTGGGCCAGACTGAGCCAGGAGCCGGGAATTCAATCCAGGTCTTCCATGTGGGTGGCAGGAATCCTATAACCTTGAGCCATCCCTGCTGCCTTCCAGGGCATGTCATGGGGAGTGGAGCTGGGACTTGAACCCAGGCACTGTAGTGTGAGATTTGTTTCCCAAGTGGCAACTTAGCCACTGCATTGAAGCCCTGCCCTGTGAGTTGCTGGAGCACAGCATCTGCTCACTGTCCTCATTTTTCAAATTGTAAAAATAATATTTTCCTTACAAGAAATCAAGGCTTGGGGCTGGTACTGTGGTGTAGTAGGTTAAGCCCTGCCTGCAGTGCCAGCATCCCATATGGGCACCAGTTCTGAGTCCTGGCTGCTCTACTTCTGATCCAGCTCCCTGCCAATGGCCTGGGAAAGCAGTGGAAGATGGCCCAAGTGCTTGAGACCCTGCACCTGTGTGGGAGACCTAGAGGAAGCTCCTGCCTGGCTCCTGGCTTTGGATCAGCCTAGTTCTGGCCATTGAGGCCATCTGGGGAGTGACCCAGCGGATGGAAGATGTCTCTCTCTGCCTCTCCCTCTCTCTCTAACTCTGCATCCCAAATAAATAAATCTTAAAAAAAAAAATCAAGGCTTGATTTGTCTGGTTAAATTCTTTAAACAGGAGGTAAAAGCGAGGTTTTTCCTACCTGGGTCCTCATGTGTCTCTATGAGGGTCTATTCATGTGTTCATATGGTCCTCATGTGTATGAGGGTCTGTGTTCATGTGGCCCTCATGTGTATCTCTGAGGGTCTGTTCATGTGGTCATATGGTCCTCATGTGTATCTGTGAGGGTCTGTTCACGTGTTCACATGTTCCTCATGTATATCTGTGAGGGTCTGTCCATGTGTTCTCGTGGTCCTCATGTGTATCTGTGAGGGTCTGTCCACGTGTTCATGTGGCCCTCATGTGTATCTGTGAGGGTCTGTTCTTGTTCACATGTTCCTCATGTGTATCTGTGAGGGTCTGTTTGTGGTCATATGGTCCTCATGTATATGAGGGTCTGTTCACAAGTTCATGTGTTCCTCATGTATCTGTGAGGGTCTGTCCACGTGTTCATGTGGCCCTCATATGTATCTGTGAGGGTCTGTTCACAAGTTCACATGTTCCTCATGTGTATATGTAAGGGTCTGTTCATGTTCACGTGGTCCTCATGTGTATTGGTGAGGGTCTGTTCGTGTTCACGTGTTCTTCATGTATATCTGTGAGGGTCTGTTCATGTGGTCATATGGTCCTCATGTGTATCGGTGAGGGTCTGTTCACAAGTTCACATGTTCCTCATGTGTATATGTAAGGGTCTGTTCATGTTCACGTGGTCCTCATGTATATCTGTAAGGGTCTGTTCGTGTTCACATGTTCCTCATGTGTATCTGCGAGGGTCTGTCCACGTGTTCTCATCCTGTTCCTTTTTCATAGTAATAAAAAGAGGGACTCACTTCACTCAATCAAAATGTAACATGCAGAATTCAAAAATGGAAACAGAAGCTCCTGAAGTCAATCATTTATCACAAAATGAACAATTCCAATTTTTAAACACTTTTCTTCATACTTAACTCAAAATGAGTAAACAGAATTTTATTCAAATTTTAGAAATATCATTTACAGTTAGCCTGAGATTAAGCATGAGGAAGTTCAACCTGAAGTTTGACTTCATTGCCCAAACAGCTAAGCATCTGAACATAAAGCTGAGAATGAACATGCATCATCAAACATAATTAAGGAGCCCAATTACGTTTGACAACGACAGCTGATGCAAACTGAACTGCAGTTTGCTCTGGTCCACGTGATCCTCAGAGCCTACAGGTATCTACGCTTTAGTGATTAAAGTATCCGCAAATGACAAATTTATGAAATGTGTCCGGATGCAGACTTTCAGTTCAGCATTTCTACAGCAGCTGCTTTAGGTGACTGTTTAAAAACAACAACTCCCCAACCCTTATTGTTCAACATGTACTGGAGAACACGCAGCAGCATGGTACAGTTTATAAATATCAAGTTCCTGTAATAAAATATAAAATACAGAGTATCCCTTTTTCAAATAGTAAGTCTCTGAATGCTCCATTCATCCTTTGGTTTCAAACCCACACAGTGCACTCGTATCACGTTGTACATTCAGCACTGAGACAGACACTGTACATCTGTTGGGGGAGGAGGGTGCCGTGGGAACACCAAAGCACTGCACTATAGAAAGTAAACGTTGAAGCAAAAATACTTTCTGAATATATCCTGTACATTATGTAAACAAACATTCAGGGTAAGAACCAACACAGGCCAAAATATTGTCTTCTAGGAAACCAGAGTCTCCCTTCTTTTAAGTCACACACACTGAGGATGTTTTTGTTAAGAAAAAGATTGGAGCCTGTTCCTGCATTTGCTTGTGTGCTTAGAGATCTTGGAAACGAGAAATCACTACATTCATTTGTGAACGGTCTGCCCTCTGCTTCACTGGCTGGCTGCTGAATCAAGGAGCACAGAACTGTCTCAGTCCCTGCTCTTCCTTTAGTACTAGTTAAAGAACAGAATTAGCTCCTCGTTATCATCCGTGTAATCTAGTAATATAAATACATTAAGTGAAGCAGTGAATTTTAAAATTTGTGCAGGGGAAACTAGTTGATTATTTGTTTCCAATAAGGCTAGTAGCAAAATAATTACTACAAAGTCAGTCCAAGCTAGTAGCAAACCCCTGATTTAGCAGGCTGAATCCAAGTTTGAAGTTAGGTAATTGTAATTCCTAAATTACTGTGCAAATCTAGAAACTCCTATGTACAAGAGTGCTGGCAGCATCAAAGCCCTGTGGTAAGAGTACGCAATACTGATCAGGTTTTGAAATGCAAAGATACATGAAGAAATCTGAATGTCTTAATAATGATGTCATAGCAATGGCCTCAGAATTCCCTTAATAAATCAGAAACTAAGACAATTCATTCGTCAATAACGTTCTGAGCCAAAAGCCTAAATCTGAAGCAAGTGATAGACATAAAACCAAAGATGCGTTTCTATTAGGACAATATGCAAGAATTTCAAGCTTGACGTCAACACTCTGCACCAGCAGCGGCCCCTCTGAAAGGAAAGAGCTGAGTCATGACTGTCCCAGCGGCCCCTCTGAAAGGAAAGAGCTGAGTCACGACTGTCCGTCTCTCTTTAGAGCCTCCAGTCTCTGAAGCAGTGCATTTCCAAACGCATCCCGGTAGGCGGGGCTGAGCGTATCCAGCAAGGAGTAGACTGTCTCGTAGTAGGGAGTCTGCAAGTGACCGTCCACTTGGTCAAAGGCATACCCTACCACCTGGAAGGCAAGGCAGCGTGAGTTAGGTGCTCCGTTAGCACTGTGACACAGACAGCAAAATCCACATGTTCACACGGGCCATTCCCTCAAGACACAGTTCTCCACGAACAGTCAGCATCTGTACATTGTAAACGCAATTTATAGTATATACCACACAGCATAGGAACAACACTAGCAAAATGACCCTTTCACAATTTTCTTTCAAAATTTAGGTTTGATTTGCCCACTCCAGCTTCTAAAAGGAATGCAGAAAAAGAATTTTAAAAAACTATACAAAACAGTATTTCATTGTGATGCTAAAACTTGCCTCTGTTTTTTATTTTAAAATTTTTGCCTCTTTTTTACACTATTTAATTCCACACACATTGAGGTCCATTACAATAAGATGCCATATTAGATAATTTATTAATATTTCTATCATTATTTAGTTTGGACCCTTTTTATTTAGTTTTACCTTCTGTAAAGAATTCTAAAAATTGTAATTAGTTTAAATAATGGCTAATTAACAATTATTTTACATGACTGCTTAGCTCATCATTGGCAATCTGAAAGGCCAGTTTCATCTGACAGGGAAAGAGGCTCAATCCTCCGAGACAGGATTGTCTTTCTCTGTGAACACAGCTAAAACTTCCCTCTCTAGTGGAACTGTAGGCTATGCCAGGCCTCACCAGTACAGAATGAGGGAAATTTAGTTTTTGCTGACTTTCTAGAGTCTGTAGACTGCCCATATAAACTCTACATTTCTAGGAGGACTTCTGAGTCCACAGAGGACGCGTTACTGCGAAACAGCAGCTGAGCCCTGTGCTACAGAATGGCAGGGGCGGACGCTCGGGGAAGTGCCCACACCCCTCCTGGTCCCGGCTCTCTCCTGGCGGGACGGCTCGGCCGCCCGGCGCATTCCTGGGGCCGTGGGTTCAGGCTTTACTTTTGGTTTGATTTCCAGCTGCTACACAGGACAGCTATCCAATAAAGGCTTGCTCAGGCAGACCGTACGCAAGCTCTGGCTCACCTCCTATGCGTCAGGTTTTACAGACGATCCAGATCTTTCAGTATCACTTATTCATGTAACTGTCCTCCAAGTCCTTCGTCAGCTTTTTTATCTCCAGGTTACAGACACAGAAGCAGGGGCTCAGAGGGTAGACCAACTCGCCCAACATCCCTCACATTAAGATGCTGTTCATCACAACCCCTTCTGCCTCCCCAGAACCACCTTCTAAGAGAATTCGTTTACTTGGGGTCATTTATCTCTGCCTTTGATTTGCCTATTTATGTTTAAGATCCATTTCTAAACACTATACCACTTGCTACTGTAGCTTTTAGATTTGGAAAGGAGTGCACAAAAGCTAGTTCGCAGGCTAGCCCTAAAACTACGCAGGTAGCTGCCTGGAAGCTGGGAGGGAACGCAGAGTATCCACGACGCTGGCTTTGCAACTTCCTGTCAAGGACCACAGGGCACACACAGACTCATCAGAAGCCAACAGGGCCCTGGGAAACAGAGAAGCCCACACACTGGTCTAATGCGTTGCTATGTGACATTCTGACTTGGCAGCTTCGCCCTCTACCTTACCATCATGTGCAACTACTTAAAAATTTTTGTCATTTTTTAAAATGAAGAAGAATTTGATTAGCACGTTAATGCCGGCACATTTTTAGGGGAGGAAGGTAAGATTTCGAAGCGTACATGCAGCACAGACCGAGCGCATCAGGCAAGCAGCCTTCTCTCTTCCTTATGCTTGGCCTCCCAGCCCCTCTTCCACTCCTCGCACAGCACAGCGAGGCTGCACTGAGAACTACAGTCGCTCACTGCGGTGGGGCCAGGACCTGCCACTTCTCACTGTGCTTTGGCACCTGTTAGCCAACCTCCTTCTAGTCTCCCTGCCCTGGCCCTCCCCAGCCACCGGGGATCACTATTTTAAGCTCAGACTGAACTACTCTCAAAACAGAGAAACACAAAATCGAAGATCAACTGATTCGTGGAGTTAAAGCTAAATTTTAGGTTTTTCTAACATCTATCCCTTTGTTCAGCAGGGTGGAGATTTGCGTAGTAGGATGGCTTGGGCTTCTTTTCCGTAACAGGCTGCCTCTCGGGTGGTGCCTTGTACCCTCGCGAGCGTGTGGCTCTGGCTCGGCCTGTGTGAAGAGCTCTCTGGTGCAAGCAGGCTCGGGCGCTCCCGGGGGCGGGGGCACAACGCTGCGCTCTGCTCTAACTCACCCGAGGGCTGGGCACAGCAGAGCCGGGGGGGCGGGGGCACAACGCTGCGCTCTGCTCTAACTCACCCGAGGGCTGGGGCACAGCAGAGTCGGGGGGGCGGGGGCACAACGTTCTGCTCTGCTCTAACTCACCGAGGGCTGGGGCACAGCAGAGTCGGGGGGGCGGGGGCACAACGTTCTGTTCTGCTCTAACTCACCCGAGGGCTGGGGCACAGCAGAGTCGGGGGGGCTGTTTTCATGGAGGTGGATGAAGATCTTTTCAACACAGCGATGGCAAAACTCACTCATTACAGAGAATGCGTAATTTTGGTGGACACATTTAGCTACAGGTGAATATTAAATTAGTTTTGGGGTTATGATTAAAACAAAATAATATTCTGCAAATCAAATGCTTTCTTGTTTTTGACAAATTTAATTTGTCCATGTTGACTGAAAGGCTAATTCTGAGGAAAAGTTTTCCTTAAGACAAGTTGGGAAGCTCAATGTTCAGTTCCCATTTACACGCTTCCTCCTCCTCACTCCCTCCTCCCTTCTGATAAAGAGATATGGTGCACTTTTATTTCTACAAAGGAAAGTGAGTTACCCTCAGCCCTGCTTCAGTGAGCTCCAGGCAGTACTGGTTCTTTTCCTTCGTTTCCACGTTGATATAGGCCACGTCGTCGGCACAGCGCAGGCTCTTCGAGACGAACATGTTGTTGACAGCAAAGAGAACATCATTTACCACCGCTTCGGCTTCCAGCCTCATGTCTTTCATGTCAGTGCCTTCAAAACCATTAAGGTCTGAACTGTCTTCAAATCCGGACATACTGCTTAGCTCCATGGGATTACAGTCCGTCTCCATTCTGTAAGAAAGCAGACATAAAAACGTGTTTATGGGAAGAGACTCAAAATATTGATTACAATTTGCTTGCCATTGCTACTAAGTCTAAAACATGAGTGAGCTAGTAATGTTGGAGAAAACATTATCTCAAATCATTTAAAGTGGATCTTCATGGCAAAATTAGACGTGTGGGTCTTCAAAAAAATTCTCACTTCCTCACTCTCCCCTAAAATGTCCCACAGTGCTTTGCATTTAAAAATTATAATTTTTAGCTATTTCAAACAGTGCTTCATTAAAAATACCAGTACCTGCTCATTTTTAAATGAAGCTCTTCCTCAAGGATAAATATTTAGAACTGGAACCGCTGAGTCCAAGGACGCACTGTTTCAATTTTGGATGCTCCAATCCAGTCTTCAACAAATGGCTCTGCTGATGCATATGCTATCAGCAGAACATGAAGGACTGTATTTTTTTTACCATACACTTTTTAATTTTTAAAAATTATTGACAATTTAAAAGGCACAGACTGAGAACTCACTATTTTAAAACGTGTTTCCTGTATAAACATCTTTCTGGGTGTGTACGGGATCTTTTTAGTTCCCACATCATTTAGCTGTAAAATGCAGAAATAGAAACAGACCCAGGTCGTCTACAATCACAAGTCCCATCCTCACCCACCTCTTAGTCGTTCCCTTCAGAACATGCATATGTGGGGCTTTGCTTAAAGCCTCCCCATCCCAGGACTACATTTAAAAAAATCCCCTAATTGTCTTCTAAATTCTCACTCTCTTATTATCTGTATTTAACTCTTTGATCCATCTGGAATTTGTGTAGCTTTATTTTCCAAATGGATAGTCTACTCTCTCAATACCATTTACCAAGTAACTCATTTTTCACCACTTATTTGAACTGGCCAAATATTATATTTTGGAAAATATTTCTTATGCTTACTTGATCCAACATTATTGCCAGGCTGCTGTGTGGCTGCAGCTGACAGGGATATCCTTGGCAGTGAGTATTGTTAAAATTTGGAATATACAAATGAGCAAAGTTAGTGAATGTGAAAGTGTTTTGGACCGTAAAAAGGGCTTTACAAAAAAAGACATGGTGCTTTCTTTTTATGTGGTAGGCTTTAAGAGCAAGGTAAGCTTCTTATTTCTCTCATCCCCTAAGCACCCCCTATCCTGAGTGCAACGTGACTCCTCATTCGTTCACATATCGAATCAATATTCAGTTCCCGGCTACTTGAGCTCTGTGGTCAAGGTCTGGTCCTTCTTCCACTGATACCAGTATTGCACCAGATAGAAGAGTCACTTTTTCCTGACAATGCTAAAAACTTCCATGAACATTTCTGAAGTTACTAACTTGTGCCCTATTTATGTGCTATTCAAAATATTTTAAGTTAGGGGGTTTTAAGTTGGAGGGTTCCTAACCTCAGATGCTCGTTAGAATGGCTTGGGAAGGTTATAAAAACACACATGCATTGACCCCACTGAAGAGACATGGAGTGAAAAATCTCGGGAGCTGGGTATTTTTTCCGAGCTTCCAAGTGGTTCTGTTGGGAAGTCACTGCTCTGCTTCAGGAGCTATCTAGTTCCACCCTGATGCCGCGTGCACATCACCAGGCAACGATGATGAACTATGAAAAGCTACTTTAAAGAAATTACACAGCAAATATACAAATAGTGCGTTCCTCCAAATCTCCTTCAGCCACTTACGAATGCTGGAGCAGTTTGTTAGGTAACTGAAATCTAAAACTGACTTGTGAAAGCATGTGATTTTCTAAAAATTTCTACCTTACTCTATACATAATCAATGTGCCTGTTTAATATATTTGATTTTATATGTCAGAAATGATTTTTTTTTTTTTTACAAGGTTGGTTTTAAATACTCTGGAATGTAATTGCCCATTCTAAATCTATTTTTCTTAAGTAACCAAGTACCTCCATCACAGAGGTCAGAAATAGTAATCATGACATGAAGAAAATGTTTATATGACAGAGTCCAGGAGTCTCTAAGGCTTTTTTATTTGAATAGCAAGAGTCTAATTCCTTGCAGTCAGGACTTTAACAACGAGGAAAGAGGAAGAATCCAGTCCAAGAGTGGAGAAATCCTCACTCGTCACCTAACTTGCTGGCACCGCCTGCAAGAGAGACTGGGAAGAGTCAGGAGAGTTTCTCCAAAATATGGGAATAACATCAAATTCAGAACTTCTGATGAGTTACGGTGATTGACACTTTATTACTGAAGCATTGCACAAATTAGTAACACTTGGAGCTATTAAGGCATTAGTACAACCGATTTTTGTTGGTTGTGACAGCCTCTGCCCCGGCCTATTACCAACCACATGTTCTGACACGCATCATAATGCCCTCTTCCCCTATTTGGTGAAGGAAGGAAGCAATTCAGCCTCACTGACTGTAGCCCCCCGTCACAGACTGTTCTGTCAGTACACGGAACTTGTCCTGATCACTTAGATCCAGACAGCTGTCACAGCCCACAGCCTGCTGCTGCTGGGAGCCAGTAGGCCACAGGCGCTGACAGTGGGAACAGACAGCCAGGAGAGTCACAGAGAAACACAGCCAGAGCCTGATCTGGTTCCCCCTTCCCAGGTATCGGACCCAGTACATCCCCATTAGTTACTGGCAACAGCAGGCATCTGGATTTGGGAGTCTGCCCCAAATGAAAAACTGAAAACTGACCGGCCTAGCTCCACAACAGCCTCATGGAGGGGAAAAGGGTCAAAATGTTTATTTTATTCCTTATTTGAAAGGGGGAGAGAGGATGAATCTTGAAGTGGGGGAGGGGCAGAGCTGGGCACTACGACATGGGATGACCGGTGTCCCAGGCGGTACCCTAACTGCTATGCCAAATGCCTGCCCCAATCTCGTTTCTCTGGAAGAATCTGCCCCCCCCCCCCATGCAGGCAAAACCAACTTATCATCAGATGAGAACCTAGAGATGAACAGAACCTTCTGTGCTAATGGAAATGCTCTCCGTCGGGGCTGCACAGTCAGCCCTGGTCAAATGTGGCTCTCAAGCACTTGAAGTTTGGCTACTGTGATGGAGGAGCGATTTTAAATTTTTATTTTCATTCTACTACTGTATAGCACAAGTCTAGATATCTGGGAATACGTGTGATGCTATAATGACCTGAGTTTATATTATGGTTAAAAAAAACCCAGTAGATGTAAAGTCATTGAATTAAACTTACAAATGAGTAGCAAAATTTAGAAACTGAGAAACAAATGAATCTTAACAACTCTATGGAGGGGAATAAACCATCATGTTGTTCTACTTCCAACATTTTACAATCTTGTCTAGTTAGACTCTTTATTAATAAAATATCATAATCCACTGTGTACTTATATTCCCAGCACTTTTTTCTAAACACTAGAATATTAATCTACTGTAGCTCTCAGTCTAACTTGGGAAAGAAACAGGCATGTGAAATATACAAATATCAACACCATAATTACATCCAAGAAATGTACTTGAGTGTCCGATAATTACAGAAAACAATGATATATTTTGGTCCTATGACAAACTCCATCACTAGGGAACTTGGTTTGGCCATATAACCTCACCGGGCTAATGGTGTTCTCACGTATAAAACAGGGGAAGCAGACAGGAAATTCTGGCCTGTTCTAGGAGATGACATTCTATGACCTAACTATGACATAATTGTTACTTACAATGGAGCTTGACTCATGGTACAAGTCAGTCAAAATAGTCCTAAATAGGCATGGATAAAAATTTATGGGTAAGCAGAAAGGTCTTTACAAATTTTTGTTTATCCGAGAGGCAGAGATGCAGTGTGCAAACTCCAGTCTATTGGTTTACTCCTCAAACGCTCGCAATGGCCAGGGCGGGGACGGGCTGAAGCCAGCTCAGAACTCAGGCCGATCTCCAGTGTGCGGGGCAGAGAACCGTTCACTTGAGCCATGGCTGCTGCCTCCTATGCTCTGCATCAGCAGGAAGCCGGAATGAGGAGCTAGAGCCAGATATTGAAGCCAGGGGCTCCGGAGTGGGACGTGGGTGTCTTAACTGGTCACTCACTGCGACGCTGAATGCCTGCAACAGCATGAAGGATTCTTCCCAGAGCACAGAGCGCCTGGAGGGGTCAGCGCAGGGGCTGGCGGGAAGGTAAGGGAGCCCAGATGAAACACAGGTCGTTCCAGCGAGGCAGGTAGGGAGGCTCAATCTGACAGGCTGTGAATTTGATTTTGATATATTAGGTTGTTTTAACATCTTGAGAATGCAAATACCAATGTCTTTATATTTAGAGAATTTCTTAGTGGCAGTATACAGTTTTTAAATTCAAGATGGCAACTGCCACTTTTTAAGACGTTCAGACCTTTTACGTTTAAAATTACTGTAAATATTGATATGGCTGCATTTAAATCTACTATCTTGCTGCTTGTTTTCTATTTGTCGCATCTGTACTTTACTCCTTTCTCTTTATTTTTCTGCCTACTTTTGTACTGATCAGTTTTTAGGATTTTTTTAAATAAAGGTTTATTTTATTTATTTGAGAGGCAGAGTTACAGAAAGAGGAGAGATTCCGAGAGAGAGCGCTTCCATCTGCTGGTTCACTCCCCGAATGGCCAACACGGCTGGGGCTGGACCAGGCCAAAGCCAGGAGCTTCATCTGGGTCCCCCACGTGGGTGCAGGGGCACAAGGACTTGAGCTGTCAGCTGCTGCTTTCCCAGGCGCATTAGCAGGGAGCTGCACCGGAAGTGGAGCAGCCGGGACTCAAACTGGCGCTCCCAGGGATGCTGGTGTTGGAGACTACAGTGTAACCCACTGCACCACAACACCAGCCCCAGTTTTAGGATTCTATTTTATGTCATTTGGTGGCTTATTAACTATGTTTTTATTGCATGTTTTTGGTGGTTGCATTAGAATTGAGAGTAAACTGAATCTCTATCATAGTGTATCTTCAAATGATATTACACCACATCATATACAAACAGCAAAAGAACACTGCAAGTGTACACTATACAAATAGTACACTATTTTTGTCATTTTCTTCTACATGTTAGAAACTTCATGATACATGTTTTAAAAATATTTAATTATTTGAAAGGCAAAGCTATAGAAAGGCAGAGGCAGAGACAGAGAGAGGTCTTCCATCCACTGGTTCACTCCCCAGATGGCTGCAACGGCTGGAGGTGTACTGATCCGAAGACGGGAGCCAGGAGCTTTTTCCGGGTCCCCCATGCAGGTGCAGAGGCCCAAGGAGTTGGACCATCTTCTACTGCTTTCCCAGGTCATGGCAGAGAGCTGGATTGGAAGTGGAGCAGCCGGGACTCGCCCATATGGGATGTCAGCACTGCAGGTGGTGGCTTTACCTGCTACGCCACAGTGCCAGCCCCCATATGTTATTATTTTTGCTTAAACAGTAATTATTTTTCACAGAGAGTTAGTTGCTAAGAAAAATTATTTCATATTTAACTACATACTTACCACTTCTGGGGCTCCTGATTCCTTTGATCTATGTCCATATGTGTGATGTTCCATTTCTCCTCCTGCCTTAAGGGCTTCCTTCAGCATGCGAGTATGACTGCTGTTGGCCAGTTCTTCCAGTTTTGGTGTGACTGAATGTCTTCTTATTCTCAGTTTTGAAAGATATTTTTGCTGGATTTAGAATCCTAGGTTGATGTTTTTTTCCCCCAACTCTTCAAAGATGTTTCTCTACTATCATCTTGCTTGCACTGTACCCCTTGAGAAATACAATGTGTTATCTTAGTGCCTCTTGGTAGTTCTTTTCATTTTTCACTTGGGATCTGTTGAGATTCTTGCTTTTATGGGTTTAGTTTTCAATGAACTTGGTAAAATTTTGGCCATGGTTTATTCAAACATTTATCCGTCTTTCCCCTCTTTGCGCACTCTAATTTCATGTATTAGTCCAGGTGAGAAGCTGAATTCTTCCTGCTCTGTTCATGTTTTCAGTTCTACGTTTCATTTTGAGTGTAAGTGTGTGTGCCGTGACGTTCTGGTCAGCAATGAATGGAACTGATGCCAATGGTCTTCTGAGAGTGTATCAGCCTCGGAAGTTGTGGCTTTCTTAGTTTGTGTAAATACACTCTGATGTTTGCACAATGACAAAATTACCGAATGCTGCATTTCTCAGAAAACAGCCCTGATGTTAAGTGACACAGGACTGAAGCTTCAAGGGCTAGATCTTTAAGTTTGCTGATCTTTTCCTCTGCAGTATCTAAGTTATGTGTATTTATAAAAAACATTAGTGTTAAATTTCTCAATATTAGCTTACATTTCTTGATATTTTCTCTGGTTGTGAACATGTGAAATACTTTCAATGTCGTTTGCTAGTTTTGTTGTTCCCTCTGCGTTAATTTCAATTTACAGAATTTTCTCCTCGTTATGGGTTATATTCTGCTGCTTTGCATGCCTGGTAATTTTTGGTTGGATGTTAGACATTATGAATTTGGTGCTAGGTATTTGTATGTTCCTACAACATTAATGAGTATTACCCTGTGATTTGTTTATTTGGAAACAGCTTGATCCTTCTGGGTCTTGCTGTTAGACTTCTTTAGCTGGTACCAGAGCTACATTTAGTCTTTGATGAATTTCGCTCCATTACAGAAACAAAATCTGAGTATTCAATGCTTTGTGAGTCACGAGATTTATCACGTGACAGAACAGGACTGTCACTGGACCTGCTCGAGCTCAGGAAACTTTCCTGTTAATTCTCCTGGGTAGTTTTCCCCCCAGCTTTGGGTAGCGTCCTCATGTGGTGACTGGTGCAGCTGTAGGCAGGAGGGGGACCCTCTGTGTACTTCTATGGCTCTTGCTTTCTGTGAAGCTCTCTACTTCTGAGCATTCTGTCCAAGCTGCCTTGGCCTTTCTGGACTCCTTGTGCCATGTCTTTAATTCAGGAAGAACAGAACCACGAGGTTTTGCCAACCAGTGCCAGAATGGAACCTCTCCAGGCAAACAAAACAAAACAAAAAACAACCACAAAAAATTGGGCAACAGAATCACTTTGTTTGTATCTGCTCTGTCAGGAATCACTGCCTGTTACCTGATGCTCAAAGCCTTGAAAGTGGAAATCTACCAGTCATCTGCAATTCTATGTCATCAGTTTTTGTTTCATTGACCCTGGTCTCTCCTATATTACCCTGAACCAACTCTAGCGTCTTGTTGGTTCCTCCCTGAATGAATTAAATACATCTCTGTACGTGCTTACTACACGTCTGTAACATTCATGTTCTGTCAGCCCTTCATGGGAGTCAACTGTGGAGTAGGAATATTCATACAAATTCCTGTGTGTGTAGTAATCACAATTTATTTCCATGTCACTCTGTCAACAATACATTGTTTTACTTGCATAACATTGTATTAGGAATTGTAAGTAATCTAGAGATGATTTAAAGTATAAAGGAGAATATGTGTACATTATATGCAAATACCACTATATTTTTTTTTAAGGGAATTCAGCATCTGTGGATTTTGGTGTCTGAGGGAGGTCCTGGAACGAATCCCCTGTGGAGACTGAGAGAAGACTTTATTTTCACACTACTTAGAAGACTTTCAATCCTTTCAAAGCCAGCTCAGAAACACCTCCTTCAGGATTCCGTATCTGACCTCCAGATGGACTCAATCACTGTCACGCTCCGCACGTCGGCACTGACGCTGCCGTTCTGCACCTCGCTGTAGGCCTGCAGGCCCATGAAGAGAGCAAGTCTTCACTGAACATTTTCTGAATGAATCAACCACAGGACTGTTCTAACTCTTGGCTTCTCCGCTGTGGCACTCAGTTCTGTGACAAGTGGTATAGGAAGCCACAGGATAAACATGGTAGATATTCTTAGAAAATGCACGCCACCATTATAGCATCAATGTTACGTAATACGATGCAAACCTGCCAAAAGATTTAATGAAGAAAACCACAAACGTTTGGATGTCTCAAGCCATTTGTTTTGCTTCTGACAGGAATATCTGAACAAGAAATACGTGGGTAAAAGGTAAGTTTGAGAAGACTGCCCTAACCCAAGGAATTAACTTGAAAAGAGGAATTCCAGGGCTGTGGTTACTTAGGCGCTCTCTCTGTCTCTCCCAAGATTTATTTATTTAAAAGTCAGAGCTAACAGAGAGGTAGAGAGACAGATCTTCCCATCTGCTGGTTCACTCCCCAGATGGCTGCAATGGTCAGGGTGGGGCCAGAACAGGGTGGGGCTGACGTCAGAAGCCAGGAGCTTCATGTGGGTCTCTCCCTCATGGGTGGCAGGCACCTGAGTACATATGCCGTCTTCTGCTGCTGTCCCAGGCACATTAGCAGGGTGCTGGATTGGAAGTGGACTTGAGGCCGGCGCCGCGGCTCACTAGGCTAATCCTCCGCCTAGCAGCGCCGGCACACCGGGTTCTAGTCCCAGTCGGGGCGCCGGATTCTGTCCCGGTTGCCCCTCTTCCAGGCCAGCTCTCTGCTGTGGCTCGAGAGTGCAGTGGAGGATGGCCCAAGTGCTTGGGCCCTGCACCCCATGGGAGACCAGGAAAAGCACCTGGCTCCTGGCTCCTGCCATCGGATCAGCGCGGCGCGCAGGCTGCAGCGCGCCGGCCGCGGCGGCCATTGGAGGGTGAACCAACGGCAAGGGAAGACCTTTCTCTCTGTCTCTCTCTCTCACTGTCCACTCTGCCTGTCTAAAGAATAAAAAAAAAAAAAAAAAAAAAAAGGAAGTGGACTTGAACTGGCGCCCACAGGGTTGCTAGGTTCACAGGTGGCAGCTTTATCCACTGCACAACACTGGCTCCTAATTTTTTTTTAACTCTTTCTGTGTCAGTTATGCTACTGTTCTCTGTTACAAGTTAGGATAATAGTTTTCATTTTTAAAACATCCTAATTTTTCTACAGCACAAAGGAAATCCATTATTTAAGAAATATCTATTTTTTTTTTTTTGACAGGCAGAGTGGACAGTGAGAGAGAGAGAGACAGAGAGAAAGGTCTTCCTTTTGCCGTTGGTTCACCCTCCAATGGCCGCCGTGGGCGGTGCGCTGCGGCCAGCACACTGCGCTGATCCGATGGCAGGAGCCAGGTACTTCTCCTGGTCTCCCATGGGGTACAGGGCCCAAGCACTTGGGCCATCCTCCACTGCACTCCCTGGCCACAGCAGAGAGCTGGCCTGGAAGAGGGGCAACTGGGACAGAATCCGGCGCCCCGACTGGGACTAGAACCCGGTGTGCCGGTGC